GTGTAGAAATCACGGTGGAAGGCTCTGTGTCACGATCATTCAATCATCAACTTGTACCCTTTCGTTGAGGTTCTGCCATCATCCACTTTGGCTTCTTCACTCTTCAACTGGTACTGAAAATATGTTGATTTGTAATCTAATCTGTGATAGCATCCTTTTAAGATGTAGCCATGTACCATGTAGAATTGGTCTTCCTAGATGCTGAGTTGCCGTATAGTATTCCGAAGGTCGTTTAAATCGTTGTTCTTACATTCATGTCTCTTTTTTCGTCATTTCCTCTCCTGTTTCTAGTTAAAGTTTCATTTGGATAACGAGTAGTCCAATAAAATACTGTTTTTCTGCGATTGACAACAAGTGTCAACATTTTCGACCAGTTGACAGGCCACATAACTCAATATTCTGGTATTTTAATTATGTTTCAATAGTTGCTACGGAATCAATGAATAACAGAACGCGAATCACTTTCCCGGACTGGCAGCAGTACGGGATAGTGATTCCCTGATTTTTAGGAACAACACAACATACATTTTTGCAGTATTTTTGTAGGTATATTTAAAATTAAATATCAAACATTAATTTATCTAATAACATATGAAAATACCAAATATCATTTCTCATTATTTTGAAAAAAATGCTAAAAAAAAAAATCCTTATTGTTTTTCTTACTGAGCGATCGCAGAAAAAATTCGGTGTTTGCCTCGCCCGTCAACTTACACCGTCGGCCGAGAATGTGTCACTTTTCCACCTAAACACAAAATATACTATTTTGGCAGGAGATTTTTGGGTTAGTTTTGATTTTCTCCATTCCTTATATTTTTCGGGATGCAAAAAACGTAGTTCTTTGCTTATAACTCGAAAGCCATCAATTTTTCGGAAAAATCACCTCTAATCAACATAAAAGTACGTAAAATTTCCCTCAATTTTTATATTTTTTCCTCCGACTAACCGTTCGGGCTCAATCCGTTAGTTGGAAAGTGGCGTGTTTTTTTTTCTTTCTTCTCTTCTATTCTATTCTATCTTTTTTTCTATTTTCATAAAAATCCACTTTTTATCTGCTCCTAGCTGAAGCTCCTTAATGGCGGAAGGCCCTGGCAAAGGATCGGGTTCTTCCACAAACATCGGAGATTGACGTCACAGAACCTTGACGTTTTCACACACCCATTGCATGTTGTGCATATTGGAGAGCAATAGAAGCTTGTCTTCCTGCACCCACAAATCCGCTAGCAGCCTTTTTTTCATTTTCAAGATATGCGCAAGTATTGAGTCCGATGCTGGTTTGGAATGTGCACAAAACCACTGTAATTAAGTAAACTCTCTGTGAATGTTCTCGTGCAGCAGCTTCAGTGGGAGGTAATGCGGCAATGTTGAGTTTGCTTTAGTAAGATGATGATATGTTAAACTTGCAACTCGAATCGCTCAAAATTGTCTCTCGGCCTTTCCCATACAAAGCTGTGAGAAACAATTGAAACATGTCGCCTGCTTGGGCAATCTCATCCTGGTGAGCTCGAGGGTCTTTGAATAGCTTCAATAACTGGTACCAAGTCATTGTTTTTTTGCAGGACTTTGAGAAATTTCAATTTCCTCTGATAAGTTAGATTTTTACCAGCATATCGGAAAAGATTTAGGAAAGGATACAGTATTTATTTGATCAAGGGATTCTTGGATTCCTAGTTTATGAGAAGATTTTCGATTCGGTCGAAACTTAAAAGCAATAATGAACAAGGAAAGAAAAAATTTCAGATATTCAAGACTAGATGAAAGTTCCACCGATAGAATTATAAAATGTCGCCCAAGAACATTAAAAATGAACGTAACGCTGGTAAGATTTTCTTCAAAGAATAGAACAGAAACGCATGAAAGATGTTGGAAGACACCTACATCTAGAAGTGAAGGAGAGGATGCAATTAATATAGTTGAATTATTAGTGGACTGTATAGCGGGTATTGCGTCCTTATTACATGAAAAAATTGAGAAATAAAGTGAGGTCATGCAAAAAGGTTGTTTGCCGCTTACCCAATTTGGCTTTTGTGGTCTTGTAACTTTAGGTGCGCCCCTGGAAGGCTTAAAAGCACGATCAATTGTTCAACGGCGAAAAATGGACGAACAAACTCAACGGTCGCGAAAATCTTTTGCGAAAGGAACCGCCGAAAAACGGAGTGGGTTCGCACCAAGCCGAATCTGTCGTATTGTAGCAAAACGCCCCAAATACTCTATGTAATTAGTTAGATGGTAAATGGCGAGCGGTATATTGATGGTGTTTATTTACTTGGAGCTGCTACCTAAATCTGAAGAAGGGTCTATTTGCAAGAGAGAGAAACAAACTATTGAGGTGTACTAAAATTATATTTTATTATACATAAAACCCAAAAATTAAAATCAACAAAATATCTCCCAACTTTGACAGCCTCGTCTATTTTTCTAAAATTCATTTACTTCACATCCGTTCAAAATGTTATTATTACGGACCACTGAAATATCCCTACTAAATAAGAAACGCCCTATTCCTACTATTCCTAATAACGTATAAGTTAACTCATTTCAACACTTCCGATTCATTCCTAATAACTACCCTCCACCTATTTATATAAATTCTTTAAAATTTCTAAGTCCTTTACTGACTGCATATGAAAACCCAAAATAATTACCTATTTGTTTATCAATATAGGTATTACTAAGTTATTCTTATAAAACCTTACAATAATTTCTACTTGAAAAATAAAAATCCTAATTCAAAATTCATTTCATGAACAACAACTTTCCAATATTTTAAGACAATTCTATTTCATGAACATCAAATTTCTTTTCGAAAATTCCTATTCCAATTAATAGTTTATTTAATCAGAACAAATTCTATTATAAGTTTCCATTAACAACTTTCCATTATTTTAAGACAACAATTCTATTTCATGTACATCAGTTTTCCTTTCAAAATTTCCTATTCCATTTGATAGTTTATTTAATCAGAACAATTCCATTTTCGGATTCCCATGCCTAGCTAATAAATTCAACTGTTTAATTCATAACTCCAACTCAAAATTGTATATTGTTAAATGCATTATAAGTACTCTTCATATTTTCTTTGCACAATTAAATTAGAATGTCATTATATCTGAAGGCAATTAAAGTTATGCAATAATGGTCCATTTATAAAACACTCGAGTTATTAATATTAATGCAATAAAGTTCCACAGTTAATTAAAAGTCAAAAGTTTTTCCAGTAACAATCACTCAAGTTTATAAAGTCATAAGTATTTCTAGTAAAAAATCACTCAAGTTTATAAAGTCAAAAGTATTTCTAATAAAAATCACTCAAGTTTATGAAATCAAAAGTATTTCTAGTAAAAATCACTCAAGTTTATGAAAGTCATTTGTTAATTCACTTCTTATCATTCAGAATCATTGATAAAAGTCAGAAAGTTTTGCTAGTCAAAATCACTCAAGTTTTAGGCATTAAAATTCAAAGTTTAATCACACAAAGTCATGTTCATCATTTATATTCAAAATAATTCTTGTCACTATAGAGTACTTACATTTTGTCCATAAAACACAAAACTAATCTAATTTAATTCTTTTGATTACTTAATTTAATTTACGCACATAATTGTTGAACGAATTTCAAATCTCATTTCTTTCACGATTTTTCGTACTTTTACTAAGTCAAATTAATCCCGAGGCCATACGCCATAAAAGAAACTTTTTGCGAAACCTGACAGACTTTACTCAAACTGGACTGGACTGCGAACTCGTCTCTCAACTGAAAACTAACAACTGCCTTCCTCTTCTAAACCGCGGTATTTATATTAAATCGATGCCCCCAATTTTCTCTGTTCATGACAATTAAGATGATGCAATTTCCTTGAGATTTTTATCATTTTTAGTCTAAAAAATCGAATAATTATGTCGCAATATACTGATTTATCGGGGTCGAAGACATTATTGGTTCAAGAATGCCATAAATCATTTATAATTACTTGGCCTCGCTCTTTCAAGTTCATTGATTTGGGTGTTGGATGACATCACCCTGTCCTCGTTTTTATCATTTTTAACAATTTAATTTGGATGATGACTGGCTGGGTGTCGAATTACGTTGCCTATGTTCCGATATCAACTGTCAGTACTGAATTTACTGGACGCCGTTCCGATATTACACTGGATTCAGTACTGAATGACCACAAAAGTACGCTGTTGAAATCGGAACGGCAAATGACAGTAAAATCAGCACAGTAAATCCAGTACTGGCAGTTGATATCGGAACACAGCCGTTAGCGTTAATTTGTTTCATTTTTAATTTATCGATACGGATTTGAGATATCAGAAATTCAGTTTATGATTGTTTGATCAAATTTAATTTTTACAGTAAAGACATTGTAATTATCGGGTCTAATTTCTGGATCATTACAGTATCGATGGTACTATCGGTACTGTACTGTTCTACCTTTTTCTAAGTATTCCTGGAAAAGTTAACGCGAAATCATTGCATTAACAGAATGAATACAGAGGAAGAAAAATATGATGCAATGAAATTGAAAAAATGAAATTTATTGAAAACAAAGCTAAATAGCATATATGTGTTGTCATTATCTTTGACTTAATGAGCTAATGAGCCATAAACATGATTGAAAGTTCTGTATCGACCAACGAACCTAATGCGAATAGTTACATGCTTTGTTCGCAGTTTACGAGCAGCTCGTCAAAAGTCTAAATCGACAGTTCGTGCAGAGTTCGCGAACAGCTATATGACAACATCTAAATCAATTAAAATTAAAAGCTTATTGTTGCTCGTCAAGGTTCTCGCTCAGTATAGAGCATTTTAGCGAATAATTATTTCGTTTTGTTACGCGAGCAGCTTGCGAACTGTTCGCGAACTTAACTTGAACACTCGACTAGCAGTGAGTTAGATGCTCGTGAACAGTTTGCAAGCTCCGGTGTCAGTCTGTATCTATGTTGAAGTATGGTTATGGAACAACTAATTTATACTCAAATCACGATTTTATACTTAGGTATTCCTTATGCGCTCCACGAAGCAGGATTCGGTTTCGGCTTGCTCCTGTTGGTGTTCGTTGCTTACGTCACCGATTACTCGCTTATTCTGATGATCAAAGCCGGTCACATAAGCGGAAGATTCTCCTATCAAGGTATCATGGAGGCTGCCTTTGGAAAACCAGGATATATTTTGTTGGGTATATTGCAGTTCTTTTATCCATTCATAGGTAAGTAAATTGAATAAATAATTTATCTATGATAGAATAGGTATATTTCTATTATATATCTACGTAACGGGAAAGAACTTATTCGAGGCGTCGATACAGACCAGACTTCTTCGACGAAAAATTGTGTCAGAAGTATTAAGAGACATGGCAGACCTAGCTAGCATAGGCCCCTGCAGTCACAGTCACTAATGTTGTTATTTTTAGGTGATTTTTTCTTACTCTCTTTTCTTCTGATTTCTATTTCATTTGCACTTTAGCTGTGTTAAATGCAGCATTTTAGGAAAAGTCACGTCGTTCCTTTTTAAAACTTATATTGATCAGAATTGTACAGCCTATCAGAAACATAGCAGCCTGCTCAACCCTCCCAAAATAAGTCAAATGAAAAAAGTGTGGAACTTTAATTTGGCCAACAGGAGAGTTATAATACTGACCTCGTTCCAAATTTTAAAGACTGGAAACTTTTCTCTACTTATAGAGAGTTTGTTTCGTATATCTTCGTTTTTGGTTTTGTTATAGAAGACAGTATAGAAAATTTATAGCTTGGATCTGAAAAGTCTCTAAAGTGATTTACTTTCATTCGAGATATAGGGCACAGCGCTCTAAAGGATTTTGCCATCAGCTTCAAGGCAGACTGAGATTCTTCCGTTATTTTCTGTTAAGGGATTGGAATCCACTGCTACCAGTTAGACCAGTCTTGTTCTGACAGCGTTGGCAGATCCTACCATCTGCGCCAAATTGACGATATCTTCAAAAAAAAACAACCCTTTATTCAAACTACCAACCCTGTTTTATCTAAGGAATAAAATGGATACGATAAGTCAATCAATCACTTAATGACGACTTAAAACAAATCTTCGGTTTTTATACATGAAATATTGCTGATTTCGATGACAACGGTGTGGACTTAGCGACTGGCGACTGATGATATAGCGGCCTTAGCCTTATTGCACATAAAGGGACCGATATAGGTCATTTGGTGATTATAGGATACCATAAAATCTTCTGAATCACATTTGCATGTATCCTAAGTAATAATTTAATCCAATTGAATATATTTATTTTTTTCAGCTATGGTTTCCTATAATGTAGTAGTTGGAGACACTGTAACCAAAGTGATAGTACGCCTAACTGACATAGAACCAGATAACATTTTTGCCAACAGAGAAGTTATAGTTTTGATAGCCACGATTTTTATTACTGTCCCGCTGTGCCTGTACAGGGACATTTCTAAGCTGGCCAAAATATCGTTTTTCAGTTTGGTCTGTATCGGATTCATATTGTTCTCAATTATGTTTAGAATTGGTAAAGTGAGCGAAATCGTGTAAGTAAGCTCTGTGCTCAATGACAATTTTATTCTAAAAAGAAAAATAACCTTTTTTTTAGACCTGACCACCCACATGCTTGGAGATTTTTCAATAGTGATATTATACCAGCTATAGGAATTATGGCTTTTGGTATGCCACTAACATACTACATGTGTACCTACATGCTAACGTTAAAATTTTAGCATTTATGTGTCATCACAATACATTTTTGATATACAGTTCAATAGCGGATCCTTCACAGAAAAAATGGGAAACTGTAACGCATGCTTCGATATTAACAAGCCTTCTGGTGGCATGCTTGTTCGGTATTGCTGGTTATGCTACATTTACGGCTTATTCGCAAGGTAAATACTGCTTAGGCTTGAAACAAAATGGGTAAATTTAAAATTTGCAGGTGATTTACTGGAAAACTATTGTTGGGACGATGATTTAATGAATGTCAGTCGAATCTTATTTAGCGTTCAAATTCTATTAACCTACCCCATAGAATGTTTTGTGACGAGAGAAGTTATTGAGCATTCTATCATGAACAAAGAGCCTAACGAACACATGCCTGATAGAATTCATTATGGGATTACGTTAGCCATTATTACTTCAACGTACCTTATATCAATGGCGACAGATTGTCTTGGAGTTGTTTTGGAACTGAATGTGAGTAATAATTTCTCATGCTTATGTGAAACTAACGCGGGGCGTAGGTTTAATATGATGGTAAGGTAAGTTTGTATAATGTATGCATAGGATTGACGCATAAGCAAAATCTACGGAAAAGCCTACCAAATAACTGAGGAATTCTGAAAGTCGCCACATTCAATCTTCAATGCAAACTTGTTGAAATTGAGCTCAAATTGAAACAGATCGGTGGAACGTCGATGGAATTAGCGAAATGAGGAAGCGAGGTGAATGAATGCCTTTAGACACTAAAATCCGGGCATAATATTTATTACAATCGGAAAGAATCAAGAAAACGAATCATAAGGAGGTGTTGGCTTCCTCATCAACAAAAGGATATCAAAAGTAAAATTTCAATACTCTCCCTCATTAAGTGACATCTTGGACCAAAGTAAATGAAAAACTTTCTAGTAGTGGCAGTGGTGTGCATATAATTTGTTCTAATATAAATCGCTGTTTGGTTATCACACAACTACAGTGGTTTCGAATTATTGTTTGTCAGATCAAAAATCAACTGCTTCATCCACATGCTTTGTCTACAAGTCAATGACAGTGTCATATATTCAGATTCAGACACTGTGACACTTTGCTGCCTTTTTGAAGTCCATGTGACTGCTGCGCTACCATAAAACCCAATACATATATCCACTACTGGATCGTCTTGCACAGGCTCCATAAATCATTGACCTAAAACCTAAGTCGTTGGCTCTAAGCTTTTTGCTAACATCATGATACGTTTGCTTTATTCAATATAACATCCGTATTGCCCAACTAAATTGGGACATTACTTGTCAATGAACTTTGGTTATTTCGTATTGAAATAATAATGGTGTAAAGGGCAATATTTTTTGGCTTGACAATATCCATCACTGTAAACCTGAATGCCAAGATTTTTTGTGAATTTGTAGGCTACCTAAGCTTTTAGTTATAGAATCTTTAAGATATTTCAAGATCTGAAGAAGCATTTTCATATGAGTTTTTGTCCGGTCAGTTTGAAACTGTAATAACTTGTTCACTGCATAGGCTATGTCCCATGGCAAGAAATAGAAGACTTTCAATATTTGAATGATATAGCTCTTTGTCTGCTCTTTTATCTTTGTCTCTTGCATTAAGAGCTCTGGTACCAGTATCCATTAATCCATTGGAACAGAGGCCGTCTTACAGTTCATCATGTCATATTTTTGCAAAACTTTTTCTTAGTATCTCTCTTGATTTAAGGACACAGATGAAGGTTTCCATAAAATTTGTAGCGATAATAAAAATTTTGGTTTACCTAGTCAAGTAACCTTAAAACTCGGATAAAATATCTTCCACTTGTTGAACAGCACTCTTTCTCAGTTTAACCTAGCACACATAAATCATCCACATAGACTGCAACTATCTGTCTTCCATCTTGTGACAGAAACATACATGGATCAGCTACGGATTTTTTCAAGTCTATTTCTTTCAAAACACTGACCAATTTATGATTCCATAATCTGAGAGACGGTTCCAAACCGTATATGTTTTTCTTCAAATAACAAACTTTACTTGGCTCAACGTCAACACCTTCTGGGATATTCATGCAAATTTCAACATCTAAATCACAATTGAGAAATGCTGTTTTGATGTCCAGTTGTTTAGCAATAATATCATATCAATTCTTACTGTCTCATATCTTACAACTGGATAGAATGTTTCTTGAAAAATCAATGGCTGGAATCTGTAAATAACCTTGAGCCGCTAATCTAGCTTTGTATCTTATTGCTTTTCCAGCTTCTGACGACATTTTGTTAACAAATCCATTTGCATCCAACAGATTTACAGTTTGGAGGTTCTTCCACTATCTCCCAAACTTTATTAGTTTCAATGAAGTCGAGTTCGTTTTAGATTGCCAAAATCCATTTTTCTGAATCAACACAGGAAATAGCTTCTTTATAAGACCTGGGTTCATCACTTGCTGAACATACCGTTTTGGTGGTTTTCTTGATCTATCACTTCTTTAATTTTGACTCAAATTTTTTTGAAGAAACAGTATTTTTCTCAATATCTATACTAATTACTGCTTCTTTATTTTGGGCACTTTTATACATTTGATTATTTTCATTTTCGTCATTCTTTTCTATTACTTTTGGTCCATTATCTTCTGTTTCGTTTCCTTGATTTTGATTTTGATCTTTTTGTTCACATTTTTCTTCTTCTGATTGCAAATAGTATTTTTTTTTTTTTGACAAAAACGGGTCCATAAAAAAAACATCTTCTCTCAAAAATCTATAGTCCCTAGAAAGGACAACTTTTCGGTGCACAGAAAGACCTCGGAGTGTACATAAGTTAGGATCTAAATTGTGATACAAACATAGGGCAAGTTGTGAAGAAAGCCAATCAGCTGGTTACCTAATAAGAACAGGTTTTGGCAATCACTATCCAACTAATCAAGAAACTGTATACAATCTACATAAGACCCAAACTTGAGAATACACACACAGTCTGGAACCCATATGTATTACTCCAAAGATGTAGAGCTGTTGGAGCGTGTGCAATGAAGAATTACAAAAATCCCAACTGAAACACGTAATCTACCATACGAAATCAGGCTCCAGAGATTTAACTTAACAACCTTAAAAGAAGGAAGAAGAAGAGGGGACTTGATAGATCCTGAGCGGACACTACTGTCCGGCTGCATAAGGGAAACATCTTTTAAGGAAGTAAACCAAATTCTTAGAGGGCATAACAAGAAGCTCAGGAAAGAGAACGCATTTTTGGCCTTAAGAAAAAACTTTTTATGCAAACGTGTAGAATACCGATGGAACGCACTAAACCATCTATGTAGGTAACTATAAACTCCCCAAACAAGAGAACATTTTCAAGAATAGACTAGACAAAAACCTGTTTACAATTAAAAACACCCTAATGCACTATTTCTAACTTCTAAATTATTATGAATTTACAAAACAGACACAGATGATACGATCGTTGTTAAACCACTTTCTATTGTTAAGCAAATAATAATAATAATAACTTCGCAATTCCATGAAAGATGTGGGATTAATTGATTAAAGATAGCTACATTTCTCCAAAACTAAAATTAGGTATGACTGAACAGACCCCAATGCAGACCCAAATAGAAAATAAGCACATAGAAATAGTGGACACATACGTATATCCAAGTCGTGGAAACTCTCCACAAGAATAACTCTAGGATGAGCAAATTATAGAAAACATGCAAGATGTGTTCAAGACAGAAATACCAACGACTCTAAAACGGAAAGCGTTTAATCAGTGTATTCTGTCGGTCGTAACCCATGATGCGGAGACCTGCCAGCAGAATGGTTAAAAGTGACGCAGAAGCAAATGAGGAGGTTGATGTTCGGATTGACTTTCAGGTTAAGAAATGGATATTCGCAGAAGAACTAAAGTGGATGACATTATTGAATGGAATGGATAACAAGGAAAAAAATGGAGATAAACGGAATATAATGCAAGACTAAGAGACGGGAGATGAACTGGGAGACTGGTTCGCTTCGCAACTGCCCAATATAGAGAATATTGATAACATATGGAGTGGGATCTATGTCAGACAGAGGTCTTTGAAACGCTTTGATGATGATGATGATGATGATGATGATGATAAAAATGATGATGTATAGGACCTTTTCAGGGCACAAGATTGCGTAGGCAAATTATATTTTCGATTCAGAAGCTTGTATTTTAAAAAGCATTTATTTTATTGATTAAAATACAGAGGTGACAAAAAAAAATATGTGGATCAAATTGCTACAGCAAAAGCCTGAAAACAAATGAACGTTCCTTATGGGACTGCGCTGGCTTAAATAAGAATTTAATGCCGATATAGCAATTTGATGTTCACTTTACAACAATGTATCCAAAAAGTCATAGAGGAAAGGTGTAAGCACATTAAGGCATATAAAAAATGGATATTTGATTATAAATCAGCGTGGCAATTGGTTAATATAACTCCTCCCAGTCCTCCCTCCTTAAGATGTTGCAAACGTGGATTGTTGTGAATTCAAATCAAACAAGGCAATTTGCACATTTGCACAATCTTTTTCTGAAGTTTTAATCTTATTAAAACAGTAAAACAATATAATTATAGATGAAATACTTAAACCTATGATTACAAATAAGAGTTTTCAAAAGACAATTCTTTTAAATTATGAATTCCTATCTGTTTCGTCGTCTTGAAGGCTTCTTCTAAGTTTTCTTGGTTGATTTCTTGAAGTTCCAATGTTGTTTCATTCTCTGGAAGTTCAGGGATGTCTATTTTTGGAATCTTCAGTTCAAAGTTGAAGTTCTCGCTGGTTTTTGGAAATTTTTGATTTTGTATTTTCACAAAGCATTTCTCAAAAGAAACTAGCGTTGGATTGATTATAATTTCCATATGGTTTGTCTTATGTCACATTGAATAACTATCGTCAGACTTTTCTTAGGGATGACTAATAGTTGTCCATTCGGGAGTTGTCTCCCTGTTGGTTTCTCATATTTTACTTTAGTGAAAGAACATTGTTGTGGTGGGTCAGTAATCAAGTCATAGGCACATGATTCTTCTTGCTTCAGCTCTTTTTGGTTACAAAGATACACATTTTCGACTTTCGAGCATTCCCATAAGGTATTGTAGTATATGTCCTTAGTAAGAAATAGGTAAGGGTACTTATTCCTAATGGTAAGTTCTTGGATAGGAATTGGATAGATTTTATACAATATAAAGGGCTTGGGATTAATCATTGTTGTGTGTATAACAAATACAATAATTAACTCATTTTGGATTTTCACTTGAGTTTTCATTGTCTCGTAATACTTGATTTTATTATCAAAATGTATTTGCTGACTTTTGGGTATATTTGTTAATATTTGATTTAATTCATTATGCTGTAAAATAGTATAATGCATTATTGCCAATTGTGCAAAATTTATTGCTAATTGCACATAATCGATAAGATTCCTGATTTTATTACTTTGAATATTGTTCAATATTAGATTAA